ACTATCCATGAATGGACAAAGTGTATTCATTGCTGCTGGGTTTCTTCCAAGTTGGAAATTTATGACCTTGCTCCTCAGATGGCATTCCTTTGTAGCGGAAGTAGTTCAGTTACAAGCTTGCTTTGGAGAGAATGATGACAATATCCATTCTAACCTGGGGTTTTTTTGTTGTTGTTTTTTTTTTTCATATTCCTTGACAGTATACACGAAAAATGGATGTAGAGGGCAAGTTACCTATACAAATTTAATTGAAGTACTACCCAGCTTAATCTATAAAGCAATCCAACATGCCCTAATATATAATACACATTATAATTACTTTTTATGATTTTTCCTTCATGAGTAATCACAATCAATTTACTGAAAATGTGTTTTGCTGGAGTTTCCTTTGGGAATTGCTTTGCCTACAGAGATCCAAGTTGCCATGATATTGTTTCAAAGGTGTCTTTTTCATTTTCTTTATTCTTGTAGAACAACTGTAGTTTGCAATTGCAGTAAATGACAAGCAGATAACTATCCAAAAAACTGAGGTCCACCAATAGGTTCCAGAAGTGAAGATTTGTTTTAATTTGTTAAAACCCCATGTGATGGTTTAACCCCAGCTGACAACTAAGCACCACACAGTGGTTTGCTAGCTCCCCGCCTCCCCCCCCCCGTGGAATGGGGGAGAGAATCAGAAGAGTAAAAGGGAGAAAACTTGTGGGTTGAGATAAAGACAGTTTAATAAGTAAAGCAAAACAAGGAATTAATTCACTACTTCCCATCAGCAGGCCAGTGTTCAGCCATCTCCAGGAAAGCTGGGCTCCATCACATTCCCAAGTAATGGTTACTTGGGAGGACAAAACCCTGTGAATCCCAGCGTCCCCCCCTTCCTTCTTCTTCCCCCAGCTTTATATGCTGAGCATAATGTCATATGGTATGGAATATCTGTTTGGTCAGTTGGGGTCAGCTGTCCCAGCTGTGTCCCCTCCCAGCTTCTTGCGCACTCCCAGCCTACTCACTGGTGGGGTGGTGTGAGAAGCAGAAAAGACCTTGACTCTGTGTAGGCACGGCTCAGCAATACTGAAAACATCCCTGTATTATCAACACTGTTTTCAGCACAAATCCAGAACATAGCCCCATACTAGCTACTGTGAAGAAAATTAACTCTATCCCAGCCAAAACCAGCACACCCTGGAAGGAAAGGGATGGGATTTCTCCTTAATATGACAAGTATATCACTGGTTCTAAAAATTAGAGACTTCCGGAACACCACTATGCTTCATACAAATTACAGCTACATAATCCAGTATATCTTTGGTCAGGTTCATTTATCTGACTTGCAAGTATCATTCATGCTTTGCTCCCTTATTACATGACAGGCATGTTAAATGATTTAATCTACCCTACTTTGTAACCTGTACTCTGTTAGCCTCTTTCCTAATGTGATGGAACAGAAAGTGTCCTTGTAAACTGATAAATGAACACTGTTACGCTCTGGTGATCCACTCAGCACATATTGTTGGATGGAGAATTTGCACGCTGATCCAAAAGTGATAAGGGTCAAAATAATTGATTTTTCAGTTTATTACTTGCATCTGTCACTGAGCATCTTTTTGGTTTTTACATTTAAGATGGAACGTGAGTGGTTTTAATGTGTACCTTGTCTAGATAGGGGTTGCCTACTAATTTCTAGATCAAGTAGCGGTTTCTGATATTACTGGGAAGGTCTGGATTCTTCTGTCTCTCTCCTCTACTCTCTAGAGGAATCTTGTCCTATCCTCTAAGTCTGCCTTTTGAATGGCAGAGTTGCATCACAGAGTTTGTAGCTGTTAAACCACCTTTTTTTTTCCTTTTCTTTTATAATGTTCTTCTATGAGCCCTGCTCTCCCAGGCTATTTAGAACAACATGCTACTTCTCTACCTGTCTGTCTCATCTTAACGTGCTTCAGAGCCCTCTGGCTGAGGACATGGTTCTCCTGGTGTCCTGGTTTCAGCAGGGATAGAGTTGCCAACTGAGGTTAAACCACGACACCTGGCAGCAGCTCTTCCTTTTTTAGTTCTGTCTCATCTTTGCAATGTGATTAAGGTTGCCTTATGTTCCCTGCTGTGCTATGTGAGCTGCTAGTTTGAAGTTATGAATTCTTTTGAAACAGATTCAATGTTTTCAGGCAACTTGTGTGCATTAATTGTTTCTGAGTTGAATGGTTGAAGGAAGTCAGTAGTCTCTATGAGTCCATATCGTGATTTAACCTCAGACAGCAACTAAGCACCACACAGAAAATTTCTGAAGTACAGCGCAAGCTGAAATTATTGTTCTTTTTCAGATTAATAAAAAAATTACCTTTGGTTTATGTTTTTGTATCAACAGCTGCACCCATCCATTTATTTAAGTATGGCTCAGATAACTTAGTTTTATAAGTAACAAAAACAGTTTGACAGGTCAAACAATTAAAGGTTTTGTAAAAGCTTTTAGAGCTCAGTTGATTGCTACCTAAGGCAATTTGATTAGTCCACAGCCCTTATAATCACTATTGTAGCTATGCTGGAAGTGCTAATTTGGTAAGTATGCTGTGGAAGTCTGATTCTTCCCACTGGCAACATAAGTAGCATTGAATATTTTTTTTCTTAGACATTTATTATAAGAATGGCACTGAAATATCTTTTTTTGCCACCTCAGAATGAAAGATTTTTCTCACCTGATCAAATGGTATGAAACCCACAGGAGAGAATAAGCCAGGTTATAGTAGTAATTTATCTCTTCCTGTTGTTTTTGTTTTGCTTTGTTTTAAAAGGACTAACCAGCCGGGAATGTTCACAAAGAAGGAGTTTGATCAGTTGGCCTCAGCAATAGACAGCTTCAGTCTCATGACATATGACTATTCAACACCACAACGGTAAGGCTCCATCTAACATTAGAAAAGGATTGCTGAAGGAACTGATTCCCAGTTAAGTCACTGTTAAATCTCCAGTATGAGTTCAATTTTTTAGTAAAGTGGACAGTGTGTTTTAACTGTATCAGATACTGAAGTTTTGGATTAGTAATTAGGATAGGTGATTTTTGAACAAGACAGTAACTCAGGGCATTGTTTGATAGCAGTGTATATTTGGCACGCAGATATTGTGAAAGGCTTTGTACTCAAGCTAAAAAACTTATCCTTTTACTAGTTCCATGACACTTACTCTTTTCCAGGCAACATTTTTTTTGTTTTTAGTTATTTAGCACAGTTCTGCAGGGTAGGTACATGAATAATCTAGTACATGTCATTGTCGAAAAAATTAGCTTTAAAGCAGAATTGACAACTCATTTGCTTCATCCTGAGGCAGCAGACTGCCTTTTGGCAGCACTGCTAATGTGGACATGCTTGAATATGTTTTTCCATTCTTCCACTAGTCCCTCCCTTGTACTGATACAGCTGCTCATGCAGCAGTTCGTCAAACCAGATCAGGGAGCTGATCTGACTGAAAAGTAACACAAAACCCCACTCTTGTACATGAATATTTATTTTCAGGAACTTAATATTTTTAACTGTGTGAAAGCGGAACAGCAGTTAGCTGAGAGGTCCTTAAACTCTACAGAGACCTTTTATATTACTGTTCTCCAAAAGCACGGTTCATTTCACTTCCAAATTGCAAGTAAGGATATGCTTTTGGAATTCCTGGGAGATTCTGTATATCTTGCTTGAAGGTGGCTCTCCAGAGTTAATATTTGTGGTAAACTGGCAGATTTAGAAATGCCATCATTTTTGTGTTTATTACATCACTTTGTCACCTGTAGTATATTAGCATTTTGATAAGGTCTAGACAGGTTTTACAGAAAGGAACTTTTGTCTTTTCTGAAAAGAATTTATATACCTCCTTCCTATCTCTCCCCAGGCCTGTCTCTACATCTTCAAGCCTAGTGATCTAGGGGAGAACAAACATAGGCAGTAATGTGTACTGAAGGTAGAACAGTTTTTTGTTACTCTCTTGCTGGAATATGCAGCATAGATGTATCCAGCTTAGCTTTCCTGTGGGTAAATCTGACATCTATGAAGATGAGGTGCTAAGGGCTTTTGTACAGGCTATACAAGCCCATCTGGAACCCTGAATGCATTTTGAAATACTGTGCTGTAGGCTGCTTATTTCCTGTGTGGCGAATCTGCACCATGCTTTATGCCATGTTAAAATCACAGGTTGTGTTACGGTACAGTCACATCTTTAGGCTTTCACTGGTGCTTTAAGTTACTTGGACCTGACTTGGAGCTGCTAATCTTTTTTACTTGAAGGGAGGAGGGAAGCATTCTTCAGTTCACATCCATTGTATTTGAAATAAATGTAGTTTCTGAGATGTAATGCTTTTAGTCTGAGAGAGGATTTGATAAAAAGAATTCAAATCTTTTTCACTTTTGCTTTGATTGGTCCGAGTATATGAAATACAGGATAATACATACGTTTTCTCACAATTTTTTTGCCTTTAAATATGAACACAATTTCCAGCAACATTAGCACATTGAGTTTTAATGACACAGATATCCCAAAGGCTTTGAGGCAGATAATTAGTAGGGAGTAGATGATGTTGATATTTTTAAGACTAGAATATGCTTTTCCTTTTATCATGTTAGTGAGTGCCTTTTATCATGTTAGTGAGTGTTTGTGATAAAGCCTGCTCTCCTCTCTGATGAGATAGGAATTGAATGAGCACGATATCCTGATACTATATGTATGGCAATTCAATTACTCTGTGTATTAAGGCTCTACTCTTTTTCTTAATGTAGCTTTTTGTTAGGTAACTGCCTATTTAGGGTTTTATCCATAAATAAGTGTTAAACAATCATTGAAACCTGTCTTGCTTACCAGTCATTGATTTTATAGTTCTTTCTGTAAGTAAATGGTGGATTTTGTCTCAGTATGTTGTGCCAGTTTACAGTAAAAGCATTGAGGATGGTATTGGAAAACAACTGAAGTCATACAGAGTTTTGAATTATTGTGTGGGCATTGTGCCAGGCCCAGTGACAGAGAAAATGTGCTAGGTGGAAATGTTTTCTTACCCACTGTAGGAAGTTTTGTGTCCCTTCACCTTAGAAATTAATCACAAAGTCAAGAGTGGGGCAAGCATGTTTTGTGCATCAGTACTTCAAGCCACTGAAGAATGTGCATTTAACATTCATAGGACTGTAGGTTAACCTTCACTGATTTTTGTGTGCCATAGTTTGCTCTTTACAATTACACTAGTCAAAAAGAGAAGTCCGAGAATAAATGTGTACTTTTTCTGACAACCTCTTTGATTTTTGCTAACTTGACAGACCTGGTCCCAATTCCCCTCTTCCCTGGGTACGAGCCTGTGTTCAAGTACTGGATCCTGATTCAAAATGGAGGAATAAAATACTTCTAGGGCTGAATTTCTATGGCATGGACTATTCTGCTTTGGGAGCCTCTGGGGAGCCAATCCTTGGTAGCAGGTAAGACTTCTCTGGCTAGTAAGTACTTATGTATGATATATTCTCACAAAACTCAGAAATTTACAAGTATTCTTGTTTAGAAATATGGATGTGTTAGTAACATAGAAATGGCAAAAGTGATAAATCTGCACATGAAATAGTAGCTCACCAGTTAGAGTAAGACCTGTAACTTCTCTTCCCTGTACAGAAGTGCAGATAGATGGCACAGTTATCCTGTCAGAACTCCTATGGAAATATGATTTGTGTAGTTTTCTGTCTTCCCTCTATCCATGTTTGTACATACAGTTTGCCATCTTTGTGTTAAAATGTTCTGCAGTGTTCTCTTATGCTCTGTATCATTTTGGGGGTTCATGCAGTTGACCTAAAGATTGTTTCTCTCAGCTCCTGAAGTTGTTACCTGTTACTTTGAAATTTGATACTGGTTTCAAACAACAATATGCCACCAAGTTTCTTTTGAGTAGAAAAAGCTGCAATAAGCTCACCAGGAGACAAAAATCTGTAACAAGATAAAGGGAAGTATTCCAAAGCCAGCCTGAATTTTTATATTGATTCTCAGAGGAAAATAGTTGTTTTAGTTTTGGGTAATAACCACCTATAATAACAGTGAGCTTTGTAGAAATACATCAGGGTATAGTACATCAAGCCAGAAGAAAAAGCAAGAAAAACAGTGTGAATTTGGCAGGAAAATCAGGTTTGTTCAGAAGTTGTTATTAATTTGTAAAATAGAACCAAACCAAGTGGAAACAAACCTAAACCACAAGAGGTGACTGTTTTCACTTTCACAGGTTACTAAGTTCATTATACCAGGATATTTCAATATAGTAACAGATTGCTTGTTGGGTATTGAAATACTATCTGAGGTGGATTGTATAAGGTAAGGGCCTGAATTTCTTATCTCTGTGCCTTCAGTTACACAAACACTTTGTCATCATTGCACTTGCCTCTGCTGTCTTTCTGCTTCACCTTGGCTGTTTGCAGGGATATAATCCTGTAGACACAGTTTTCTCCCAGTGTTGAATTGTGTCTGAATCTGGCTGAATAACAGAAAATGACTACAGGGTGGGGGAAATAAAGCCATTGTCTACAGTGAAAGGTATATAGTGAGTATATCAGCATGGCTTCTGTAAAGTTAGTTGTAGTGGTTAGGCAGGAAAAATACTCAATAGTTAAAGCATTGTTGATGTACAAGCCTAATTATACAAGCTCAGCAAAATTAATGTAGCTTCACTGTAATATTTACAGTTCCTTTTGCAGGTAGGAGTATAGCACTATCTAGCAAAATAAAAGGATCTTGCTTTTTTCTGAACTGCAACTTTTGGAATGAAGTTTCCACTTGAAAACGTACTGCACACTAGGATGGCATCTACTTTTACTTTTCATAGATTCTTCTGGACTATTTATAGTATTAATTCATGTTGCTTTTTAATTAATGGCAAAAATATCCTGGCTAACAGTCAGGTATGATTAATCTAACTTATACCAAAAAAGGCTATGTTTACTTGTATGTAGTGCACTGGCGCACAGTACGGGACAATGTTTTATACAGAGAATGGTACTGTTAACATATTCTTCATTGACAGACCATGATACTGTAATTTTTCAGATATCTACCAGAAGCAAGGTTCTGGACAAAGTCTTTAAGAGACTTTGAGTTTATACATAAAACACATTCATTTTCACTTTGCTGCCTTACCTATTAAACGTCAGTCAATGGTTAAGTTTATTTTTCCAGAAATAAATTTTTGAGCATGCACAGTTATGTATTAGTCTTTGCTGTGTATGTCATGTGTAGTAATGTGATAGTAAAATAGGTTCAAGGTAAAGCAGCGTCAAAATAGGCCAGGCTTTTGACATAAAGAAAACAGAAAAAAGGTTATTAGTGTAAAATAAGCTTTCTGCCACTTAAGTGGGAACAGGCTGTTTGTAAGGAAGTCCTAGTTTCTAGCATCGTGAGTCTTTGAAAACTGTCACTGTCACATCCAATTGAATCCCAGAATGGGCACAGTTTGTTCAGAGATGCTCTTCCCCCCTCCCTCCAAAAAAGCTTCTTTCTTTTTCTATTATTAGTAGTCTGGCTACCTCATGTTTTTTTGTTCTCTAAGACACATGGCTGAGGCTGATCCTATTCCTTCACATTTTTGTATCTGCTTCATACTACATAAAAAGGCTGCTCAGAAGCTGTGTCCAGTGTAGAAGTGGATGGCTTGATCAGTTATTTTGCTCACCTTGGCTCCTTAGTGAATTCAAGTTTCCAGTTTCTTGTGACTGTAATCCAGTGTTAGTCATGACCTGTAAAAATTATTGAAGGTTTAAGGCACCCTCCATATGTTGTAGTGATAGTGATGTTAAGCTAAAGTACTGATATTAAAATTAATTCAAAATCTGTTCAGTATGGTGGGTGTCAACTTTTTTGTTGTAGGTTTCTCTTCAGTTTTTTGCATCTGAAATTTATTGCATGTACAGGTCTCCAACATGCCAGTGCTCCTTGGCACACTGTAAGGTGCACACTGTCTTGTTGAAGCATATTCATCGGAATCTGATCATCTTCAATAAGAGAGCTGGAGAATTGTAAGCTTCAGCGGCAAACTGTATATTCTCAAGTTGTTTGGTGTAAATGTAGTATGCACTTGAATTGATTATTAGTATAGCTTATACATAGGATTACATGCAGAGTGCAGAAACCTTTGCTGGTCTTACGTTTGTGTTCTCCTTTAGGATAGGAATTATGTGATGGAAAGAGTCTCTGAACATAGGTAGATTTCATTCACTGAATATTTTTTTCAGTCCAGAAGTTCATAAAATAACTTTCAATAGAAAATAAATAATATCTGGCAGTGTTTTTTAATTGCAGGATGTAATCTAAAGGTAGAAGTACTTGGTTACCATTTTGCTGAAAAGATATACAACCTTTCCACGTAATATACTTTTTCCTTCATACACGCCATAAAAAGTAATATGTATATGTGTATGTGCTGCTGTATGTATATATATCAGGATTAAATGAAATGAAAACAATTTTTCTTTTACAGCACAATGTAGTTTGTCTTTGGGTGCTGTTGCAGTAGGAACTACAGCTTATATTTGCAGTAACAATGTGTTCATTTTGCAGCTCAGTCACAATTATTACTTGTTAATACAATGAGTCAGTCTCAGAGATTATAGCACATTCTGGTGCTTTAATCAACCAAGTACCATTGTTGTTTAGCTGCAGGGAAGCTACATTCCTGTGTATATTTAGTTCTGACATAATTTGTGTGAAATGCTAAGCCTGAAATAAAGATGTTGTGCCTGTGATTCCCCAAATCACCTCTAGTGCTTCTGGAAATGTTTTCTGCCCTCTGGCTGTGAAGAATCAGGTGTCTGAACTGCTAAGATGCAGTCATTAAAACTTACCACTGTATTAAAATCCTGTCAGAACATAACCATCTGGTGTTGCTGACTTGCTGCTCTAATGATCAGTTTGTTCCAGCATGTCCTCTACTGATACCGCAACCTGACAGTATTTCTTCTTCACCGCAAAAGTGTATGTCTTGGGTAAATAATTCTTCAGTATACCCTGAAGCTTAAGAAATTGTTTAGCCTTTCTGCAGAATCTTTACCTTCGAGTCCTTTTTGAGACGTGTAGTAGGTCAGCAAGCCCCTCAGTCTCACAAGCTGCTTACTTCTGATGTACTTTTTTCGCCTTTAGCTATCTGCTCTTCAGAATCTCTCTTAATCATTGGGACATTGTATTTCAGTTTCAGTAATACCCATTGTTTTCTTTTGCCTTCTCATGGGAGCTTAGACAGCAGTGCAGTGGTGTTTTCCATTCCATGCCATCTAAAATCTGTAGCCTTTATGACCTGGGCCAAAAGGGAACTGATAAATTTCATTGCTAGCTGTGAATTAAAAGCCATGTAAATCAAAGGTGATCATGTGGCAATGGTGCCACTCATGTTTGATAAATCAGCCTTCTTTATTGAGCACATCCCTGCTAAGTTTAATGTGTTAAACACATTTTGTCCTTTTTTTTTTTTGTGTAGTGCTGAAAGAGGGAAGATACATCTCTGATGTTTCACCTGGTTGTATATAACTTCTGAATATATTCTGCATCCAAGCTGCTTTTGTTCCAAACGTAGCTGTTGAAAATAGATATGTGAATAACTCCGTTGTTGTGAGGCAATGCTGTGTGTGCTTACCTTTTATTTAAAGGAACCCGAATAGGGATTTTTATGTTAATTTTTAAACACTTAAGAAGATTGATATAATAAATTGCCAGTTGAAGCAAGGGCGAAACTAATTTGACAATGTGTTGTGCTGTTCAGAGGTAGAAAATAAGATGATTTGTAAGCTATGTGAGGATGTAGAGTTCTACTGAGAATTTATTGGCTGCCTGCCATTCTGTAAATAACAGGTAATAAAAAGTGGTAGTTAGAAACAGTTAGAGGTGAGCTTTTTCCCTGAATTACCATGGCAGTGTCTTTATTAGCAGCAATTTAAGAACATTTAGACCAACTGTGACTCATGATTTTGTCTTACAGAAGGTAGCAAAAAACTTGTGCAAGGGACACTTCTACTCTTCAAGCTTCAAGGCTTTTACAACATTTCTCTTCATGCTGTAATTCTCTCAGGATTTCAGTTACTCCCCTGCATACCAGGATTCTGTCTCCTGATTTAATCCATTTTGCTCATAGTTTATGTAACATTGGGAAGATACTAATATTTCAAGTAAACTGATGGACCAATTAGCTCTGTAGGATTGAACATCCTCTTGATCTGTTGTCCATCTCTCTGCTTTATTGGAGAAACTGTTAAGCTCTTTCTTAAATTGTGCTGCTGGGTCAGATAGTAAAATCATGGCAGTGATAGGAGGAAGTTACAATTGGGCCTGGAATCGGAAAGAAGTTATTTCTATTTTACAAACATCTAAATAATTCAGGAGTGTTTCAAGAGGTTTATTCTATTAAATTCCCCCTGGGATATTCTGTTGTTGTGGCTTCCATGGTATATCTGTCCCTCCC